GCCCGTACCAGGGCATACCGCCTGCAACCCACCACTGATTGATAATGTGATATCAATTGACCTTACTTTACACAAAACGTAGATGGCCTAGATATCAGCTTTGAAGCCCCACTTAGAGGTTTACAGCACATGAAGAAACTGTTTTTACAACCACATTTGTGAAACTCTTGGATGGGAGTCCACCTGAAAATCCCAGAGCTGAGGACTAAACTGCAAAGAAAAAAAACCTTGATAAGTCATTGCTTAAACATTTCCATATTGCTGCCAAGAATATTCACCAGGAATCAAGTTTAATGAAATGAAATTTTAATACAATGAACTATGTGATAGGCAGTGGTGGGTTTCAATTTTTTTTACTACTGGTTTTGTGGATGTGGCTTGGTGGCTGTGGCATGGTTTGGTGAACATGGCAGGAGAAAGATACTGTCAGCCTCTGTAAAATCTCCATTCCCATCACACTCCTGGGGAAGGTTACTGCAAAATCCCCATTTCATCCTGATCAGCTGGGACTCGGGAGGCAGAGAATAGATGGGGGTGGGATCAGTCAGAGGTGGTATTTACCGGTTCTCCAAACTACTCAAAATTTCTGCTACCAGTTTTCCAGAACTGGTCAGAACCTGCTGAATACCACCTCTGCTTTAGATGCACACTTTTGAACTATATTATTATTTTAAAAGGATGAAGACTTAAGTCACAGGCTTTTATATTCTTTTTATTAGGATTTCTAAGTGGAAAATAAAATGTCCAGATAAACATTGTCTTTTAAAGTATATCTTTATTGATATAGTTTATTGTGAAGGTGAAATCTTATTCATACTTATTTGAAAGTGAGTTTTGTGGAACTGTGTGTTTTAATTTGGAATACATGCATATAACTAGACAGATCAAAACTAGTTTTAATATTTATATGGAAACATTATGGGTTTTTAAATTATCTGTGTTAGCTTATCTGTGTTATCGATGGTTCTCACTCCAGTATAAGAATTGCAAAAAAAAGTAAAATAACCCCAAATAGAATAAAATATTTAATTTTTTTGATAATTAATTACATTGTTCAGATAATTTACATTACTTAAACATATCGGCATTTATTTTGTGTTTATTCTTTCTATGTAGCTCTTAGTTTCCTTTTTTCCACATAAATCATTAAACTGTAATAATTAATTGTTACCAGTAAGTATTATCTTTCATCTAACATAGTGATTCTGATTGCAGGGAGAAAGAGGGGACCCTGGACCTCAAGGCGCGACTGTAAGCTCCTTCATCAATTTATATGGAGAAAATACATTTGTTTCACTTTCAATTTTTCTATCTAGTTTGAAATTCTCTCAAGTTTAGTAACCCACACCACAGTTCACCACTTGCCTTCCCAACAATGTATTTAAGTGCCAGGCTTAGACTTATGTAAGAATCTGCATATTGGTAACTCAGTTTGTTGCCATCTTAGGATTTCTTAGAATGATCCCCATATAAAAGTTGTAATTTGTAAACCATACCTTGCTACCTTTTTAGAAAGAAGCTAAGAAACTATGTTAATAATAAATATGAGAGACCATCAAATTGTTGAAGCACATCCTCTTTTCAGCTACAGGGGATTGCCTCCTTTCAAAGTTCCACCTGTAAGGATTTGTTCATTTGTTTGTTTTGGCAACTAGACAGAATTCAGAGGGGTATAAAAAGTCTTCATTCTTTCATTGTGTTGCCTGCCTTCAAAATAACATGTTGCTGCTATGCACTGCAGATGCTCCAAATGGTGGGCAAATTCGTGATTAAATTACTTCACACTATTTTACTCATTATTGCATTCCCCACAGAAATATTCATTTGTCTCTGTTGCATTTGTAATTTCTGACCAATAGCTGAGATGTTATTTTATTTATGTACTGCAATGGTAGTTAGCTTTTATCCTAGAACATTAATCATCCTAAGAATAAATTAGTTGGTTGTGCTAGTGTTTGGACTATTTTATTCTAACAGTTCCTAACAGTTAAAGAATGATGTTAGCGGGTAAGTGGGTATGTTATGAGAGATTTTCCATACCTAGCACAATTTTCTCCAGACGGTAAACAGAATATTACTTGTTAATAGTAAGCATAATATTGTGTGGTTTACTTAGGGTCCTAGAGGAAAAAAGGGACCCAGAGGTCCATCTGGATTTCCAGGCCACCCAGGTGAACAGGTATAATTTTAACATTTTAATCTCTTACTTAACTGACATCATGTTAGAATCTGCCTGTATTTTATCTCCTAGTTCACACGTAATCAATTCCGTAGGAGTAACAGAAATCATCTGAGAATGGATGTTCCTTTCTGCCAATAATTCTGTTGGCAGTTTACCCATTCTCTTTTTAATCAATACAGAGTTTATTGAAAATTATTTTTCTTTGCTTAAAGTGTAAAAAGTAAAGCTTTTTGTCTGCAATAAAGACAATCAGGAAAAATAATTTCTGTGGAAGAGATGTTTGAATAAAGCAATAGTGCAACATATTAGTAGGGAAAAGAACAAGAACAGGACAGAAAACCATTTTCCTCACTAATATTTCCAAATATTTCCAACCCCCACAAACATTGCTTTCAAGAGTTGGGATTATATAAAAATTAATCCAATACCCCCAGAGAGTTCCAGGTCTGATTATATCAAAATTCTTATTTTCACAGGGTTTTCAAGGTCAGCCTGGTTTACCAGGTGATCAGGTGAGAGATTTTTGTTCTTGGAAAACTTTATAATTTCTTCATATTGATACTTACTTTTGAAATTTTCATTTTTTTAAAAAAACAACCCTAAATTTAAATAACTGATATATTTTCATATAAAAGGATATACCAATAGAGTAAAACTCTACATTTAATGGATCATGGAGGCAGGGGACATCCTTTAAAACTGTAAATATATGGTTTCTAAAACTTCAGAATTAATCTAAATATTTGCAGTAAATCCTTGATTTAACAGACAAACTGACAAAGATTTACCAGACATCAGTCCATTAAATGAGGGTCGGGTCCAAGTGAAAAAATATTTATGTTGTTCCCATGTGAATTTAGTCTATCATATAAAGTGAATATATTTTCCTTCTTCTAATACATTGATATTTCATCAGGGGAATCCAGGAATTGGAGTGGAAGGACAAAAGGGAGAGCCGGTAAGAAAAAAAGGGCATATGAGAATTGAACATTGAAATATTTAGGAGTTACCAAGAAACTGCAATTTCAGATTATTGATTTTTCTTCTTCATAAATTGAGCAGTGTGTTTTTTGTAAGGGGCTAAATTTGGAATGGAGAAAACACAAGCAAAGCTTTATTTTAAAAGAAGCATTGAAATGTATTTTCATTTTGCAAAGAAATAAATTATATTTAATCTTCTATTTAGTCTGAATAGAATCTGAGGTTTATTTTCAAGTGAACTAGATCTAATTTGATCGCTACTAAATCACTTGTGACATCAATGTTTTTTGAATAGTAATTGATTAGCAAATTGAGTATAAGTCAACAATTTGAAATTGATTTCAAACTGCACCATAAGAATTTTTCATATTATAAGAAGCAATTGTTTCATTTTATTCTGGATTCATTAGACCCCTTATTGAGTATTTGTCCAGTTATAAATATTGTGTTTTAATCAGGATTGAGAAGAAAAAAACCTGGAACATGTTTATAGTAAAGCAATGAGACAGACGCTTGAAATACCTGAAATAATGTCAAATTAAAAAAATCAAGTTTCAAGAAGACAGAATGTGACTTAATGTTAACCAACTGTCAGAAAACTGTTTTACTCTCCATTTAATTGATATGTTCAAATGGAAGTTATAGAGTGAAATTATTTCAATTTGGATTTCTATTCTGAGCAAGCATTTGCAATCGGTTGACTAAATGGCTTATTTCATAACTATATTGTAAGGATTCTATTGTTCTACTGTATCTTCAGCAAGCAAGGAAAACTTGAACGTCTCTATTATTTCATTCTTTAATGGGTAGGTAAATTAATAATCATTGATGTTTAAAATATGTTGTACATGGAAAAAGAGATGACATAAGAAGGAAATGTCAGGGAGGAGTTTTTGAGCTGCAGATTAGGGAGCTGCAACTCACTTTTGTTAGGCTGTTCACTCTATTTGCTCTTTTCATTCTTTGTAGGGTGATGTAGGACCTCCTGGTTCTCCAGGACAGCCATTACTGGTTGGACCACCTAGTTCTAGACTGTTAAAGGGAGAAAAGGTATGCACATTATAAAATTTATGATTACGAGTCAGTAATAGGAGTGGTGTGGTGGCCGAGAGGTGGAGCTCTCACCTCACCATCAGGAGGCTGTGAATTCGATCCTAGGTAGAAGCAGATATTTTTCTCTCTGGGCACACTGAGAATGTATCTGCGGAACAAAACTCCACATTGGCAACAGGAAGGGCATCTGGCCATTAAAACACTCTGCTACCTCCATTCAGTTGCCCAGACTCTGCCCTGCAAACAACCTTTGCAAAAAAAGGTCATAAAATTGGTTGCAATCACCCAGCATGATTGATGACCCACTTAATAATCAGCATGATCGATAACCATATGAGATTCATATGATTGTCACTATTTATAAACCATCATCAACAGCAATGATAGACAATTTGTAACACTCCAGAAGCTAGGAAACAGGCCTCATGGTGAGGATTCTGGGAATTGTACTTCAGCAATTTATGAACACCATAGGCTGCTTACATCTAATCTATAGGCTAATATTATGTATGAACCAGGCTATTATGGATTATTAAATAAACAATTAAAACAAATCATGGTTAAGTGTAACAAATGAAATCAGTCATTATTCCCTGTATCAAAACAGCTTCTGGCAGGAAATAATTTTTGAGGAAAAAATATTTAATCTTTGCAATTTATACTTTTTAAAATGAATGCATTGCAGTACAGGGTATGGCAGAGTTGAAATGATACTATTTAAACAATATTAAAGCAAACACTTTAATCTTTAGGGAATAAAGGGAATGCCTGGATCTACTGGCTCAAGAGGATTGCGTGGTCATAAAGTAAGTGACAAGTTTTCATGAATATAACAGATAACAATCATTTCATCATGCTACTTGCTAAGCATGTATAGTTACATGTTTTTAGTTACATGTATACTTACTATTATGTAACTGCATTTTATCAGCTGCCAATTCCTCTGGGTAAGTTGTGTGTTAGAGTTGACTTCAAATTATAATACAAGAGATATTGGGGAAAAGAATGCCATGGTCCCAAATGGTATACTGTATAGAACAGAATACAAGTGGAAAACCACTTGCAAATGTATAGAATAGGAGGAAAATATACAGAGTAGGATTTAATTAGACACATGGTGTACCTAATTTAATTTAGCTTAAACATTTAATTAGGCAATTTTTTTCTATGGAAAAACTGCAGCTCAGCTATATATTTCTAAGCCAGTGTTTTTTTTGAAGATGTGTCTGGGGAATTCTGGGAATTGAAGTCCACACATCTTCAAACTGCTAGGGTTAAGCAACACTTCACTAAATCTATAAAAAATTACTAGAAAGGATGCACTCCAGTACATTAACTGTTCTTGGTTAACCCCTTAGAGCCACCTGACTTACATGGCATTGTAGCAATGGGTCTTTGGAATTAATACGATGAGGCTCTTGTTTGTTTTTTCAGAATTAGGAAAAACATAGGCCTTCTTTAACAATATGCTGCCCTTCTAATTCTATTGGAAATAAAGGGCAACCAATCTTGAAATTATGTAATTGGTGTATTTTGAAACATAACAGGGTGAATTTGCAATTGGAGACAAGGGTGATAAGGGGATTCCTGGTTTTCCTGGAAAGCAGGTAAGAAATTCCAAAATGCTATCTTTATCTCATTTTAATATTGCATTTTTTTTAAAGGATACTTTCTATTATCTGTTATGTAGAATTTTTAAACAATGATTTTATGGTATTATTGCAAATTGATATTTGGAATGCTTACTATATTTTTCGGAGTTTAAGACATACCCTTTTCCCTCAAAAAAGAGGCTGAAAATCTGGGTGCATCTTATACACTGAATACAGCATTTTTTCCCTCCTGAAACCCCACCCCTTCACGAAAATGGCCGTGCACAGCTTTTAGGAACCTTGCAGAGTGTTCCTGGGGGCTGGAGAAGGCAGAAATGAGTGAAAATAGCCCATTTTTTTTGCTCAATTTTGCCTCCCAGCCCCCAGGAGCACTCTACAAGCCTCCTAAAGGCTATTCATGTTCTTTTAAAAAAAATCGGGCCCATTTTCGTGAAAAACAGGCCATTTTTTGGAGGTCTGCAGAGTGCAAAAACTTTTTTAAAAATTTGCGTCTTCAAAACCTTGGTGTGTCTTATACTCCAGTGCGCCTTATACTCCAAAAAATACAGTAATTTATGAGCCATAAGTTAAGCATTGTGAAAGAAGCTGCCACTTCTATTTTAAATCCACAAATACAACTAAATAAAGGAAATTCTGCCTACACAGGCTATTTTGTTTTTATTTTCTTAATAAGCAAAATATTTATGTAGAGCAATATTTCTCAAACTTGGCAAGTTTAAGATGTGTGGAATGGTTGGGGAATTCTGGGAATTGACATCCACACATCTTTAAATTACCAAGTTTGAAAAATATTGATAGACAAAAATAAATTTAGCCAGCAACTAGAAAAACAAAAACATTGATTTTTAGACTATATTTTTAATGAATGAGTACAACATTCTTTATTGTGATTAAGTGAAAGTATTTTATAGAGTCTCATTTATTTGTCATTTATACAGTGTTAATGTAATGTAATGTGAACATGTAGACATTAAACACCGTAGCATAAGAGAAACTGATCAGATTACAGCATTGTTCTAGTGATTGTAATATAGCTGATATATTGATAATGCCTGTATCTGTAGAACAGTACAAAGAATATGTTAAAGCGTTTGGACTATCAGATGTACAACTTTAAAGGGGAGGAGTGTCAGGTACTGAGGATTTAATAGCTGCCAACTAATGTAAGGTTGTAAGCTGTAATCAGTAAGTTGATGCAATGAGGATGATTCAGCAATACAGGTATCATCTGTTTAAGACTCTGGTGGGGTTCACACAAGGCATTTGCTATTTTAAGAGGAGTCTATATATAGGTGGCCATCGGAGGATATTTCTCTCTCTTTTGTCGTGTATCTCATTTTTTCTCCTTGTGTCCATAGGTGAATGGTAAGGGATTTATCTCCATGTATATGTCTGTATATAATTGTATATAAACCACTATTAATTGTATAGAGGCTCTGTGTGCTGGGTGCTGTGATTGGCTCCCAGGTTTCCCTCATAATAATAGTCTTGCTGCCAAAACTCTGACATAATCTGGCCTCTTTTCTGCTACATATAAAACAATTCTAACCGATGTTTTGTTTCATTGGAAAATCTTTTTTTTCTTGAAGTACAATTTTTGTCAAATCTTATACTATCTTTTTTTTCTCTTTAATTCCTCTAGGGAATTCCTGGCTCATATGGTTCTCCTGGTTTCCCAGGAAACAAGGTAGGTACAATACACAGAAATTACATTCCTTATCTGTAGGATTTTTTTAAAAAAAAGATGGAATAATACACCTATGACTGGGTAATTGGATGAAAACAGGGAGAAGAAAATAAGAGTAATTAGACAATTGTCACAATACCAAAATATAAAAAGTAGAGTTTTCAGGAAGATGCACTGATGCTTTTCAATTTTTTCTTAAATGTTCTAGAGATGAGAGAAAGTCAAGTTTAAAGTTTCATCAAGATGTCATCAAATAAACTGAGTTAGCAAAAAGAGAATTGTGTAGATTTTTTATTAGCTATTTTCAAGCTATGAAATGGAGTCAAAAATGACAAAAGTGTTTCAAAAACAACAAAATCTTATGCCTATTAAATAAAATGCTTTTCAATGATAAATTTTAATCTTTAATGTGCTGAAAGTTCTGACTTTCCATTTAATATAATAATGTTGGTTATTAATGGGGGTTAAGATTGTTAATGGTTACTAGTCAGGTGGCTTATATGTAATTTTCAGGATCAGGGGTATTGTATGTTTCTCTGAAAAACAGTGTCTGGGGAATTAGAAACTTAATAACTTTCTTACAGAATTATCTGATTACCATTGAAACAGGATCCTGAATCAGATAAGCTTTTTGTCTTGTTTTATTTACTCCATTATAATCAGTGCAAAGGATATACCATAGTTTTATCCAGTTGCCATGTTAATAATACACACACCTTGCACTATCTGTGAGGTATGCAAACAATTTCCAATGGTTCATGGATTTCTAATAACTTTAAATTTACTTCATTTTTTTAAAGAATCAAACAAATTCAAAAATTTGTTTCAGGGTAAAACTGGAACACATGGAATTCCTGGTCAAGATGGTTTGATAGGCATTAAGGTTAGTTATATTTAAATTTGTTGTTACTTTCATCCCCTAGCCTTTGTATACCCTAAAGCAGGCGTGTCAAACTCAATTTCATTGAGGGTCACATCAGGGTTGTGTTGTACCTTGGGGGGCTGGAGTATGTGTCCGGGGGCATGGCTAGGGTGGGCATGGCCAACTCAACATCACTCATCAAGGCTTTGTTTTAAGCCTCCTGCAGCCTCTGCCAGAGGAAACGAAGCCTGGGTGGGCCACGTGCGGCCTCTCTGAGGTCCATTTTCGCTGGCAGAGGGCTGCAGGAGATTGTCGTCACTGAAAACAGAGCCAGGCATGTCATGTGCGGCCTCCCTGACTCCATTTTCATTGGCAGAGGGCTTCAGGAGGCCCTCATGGCTGAAAATGGAGCCTGAGTGGACTGCCCGTGGCCATCCCGAGCTCCATTTTTCCAGGCAAAGGCTCCATGGGTTGGTCCTTTGCTGTTTCCAGGGTCGCCCTGCAGGCTAGATCTAAACACCACACAGGCCGGATCCAGTCCCTGGGCCTTGAGTTTGACACCCCTGCCCTAAAGCAATGAAATCAGTTATTATTTCAAGTTTATATTTCTACCCATCTTTATTCAATACATAGCATTGCATAGCAATGCAATCAGTTATGTTATTTGAAGCAATTATATATAATTGATGAAGCTCATCATTTATCTTGTATTCTAGGGCAGTGTTTCTCAACCTTGGCAACTTTAAGATGTCCTGCTGGCTGGGGAATTCTGGGAGTTGAAGCTCCCACATCTTAAAAATGCCAAGGTCAAGAAACACCCCTCTGGGGAAATGTCACTAAGCGTTCCCATTTTTATAGGGGGATCCTGGAGACATTGGGCAGCCTGGGCCACCAGGACCTCGAAGAACTGCACTCACTGGATCAAAGGGTTAAGCTAATCTAGTTACATTATATTCATTTCTCATAAACCACAATAAAATTCAATTATTGTAAATGCAAGTATGCTTTCAATTATCCTGTGCAGGTATTCAAGGGGACCCTGGAGATCCCGGACTTCCTGGAGAGAGAGGAACAGATGGAATGCCTGGTTCTGCTGGTGGCAAAGGAAGGCAAGGGGAAGATGGACTCAGTAAGAAACATTTTAGCTATCTTATTTAGCTAGAATTAAATAGTACCATCTGTTTTCAACTCTTTCCACAGATGCTATGGAGACATATTCTGAAATTTTATATATAATTTCTTGCATAATAGCTAATGCTTTGATTTATTTTAGCATGATTTTAAACAAAAAAATAGTCACCTTTACATTTTTTTTGCTAAGGCATGCTGCCAGATCTTCTTGTCGATGTTACTGCTTTTAAATGTTATTGTCAGCCTGCAGTTTTCTTTTGGATCTACTGTGCCTTTTTCTATTGTGGGAAAATGGGAGGGGGGATTGTACGGAGCTACTTACTGTGTAGCCAAAACAAAATTCCTTCTAGAAAGCCAAGGTCATCCTTTGTCTCTGCACCTCCACACCTAATTGGAACTGGATAGGTGGAACTGCCAGCATGGCAGTGGGAGATTGGACCATGTGTTGAAATTGTGGGTGTGGGGCAAGATCTTGAACTTTCAACTAGGTGGGGAAAACTTGGAAGCTTTCAGATTCAGGTTTTCCCAGATGTGCCAACATGGCTCTCTTAATAAATTGGAGCAATACGTTGCCTTGGACTCTTGATTTATTTTTGGATGCTATTTGGAACCCTGACAGTTATTTAATTTCCTTGTTTAAAGAAAGTAATTGTGGGTTATAGTTCTCTTCTCTATATTATACAAGGTTATGTAATTAATTCCAATACCATGTTAGTCCTTTTTTTTTTAGTTAGTCCTTTTTTTTAGTGCTATGCAGGGTTTGGGATTTGAAGGCAAAAAGGAAGATGACTGCATATTTTCCTGGGATGAATAGATGCTGCTTATAGTGGCAACATATCCTAAATAAAGACCAATTTGCTTTATAGAATTGCAGATATGTGCAAGGTGCACATTCTGAATGTTCCAAAGCAATTTCTTATGTTTGCATTTAAAGCATTGCTCTACTGTAGCTGTTTGCTAAGTAATATGCTCATTAACTTTTTGTAACTATGTTTTAGGTTGGGAGTGGGTAGAATTGATTATGTGGAGTTCTTGGTGCTCTCTGAACTTGATTGCTTGTTGATGATTCACTATCTGACTAAAAATGTCAACAGTTCTGCTGTCTGTGAGGTTTACTGCCTGTTTTGGATTTAGACCAAGCTAAATCCAAAAGCACTAGGGAATTCCTGGCAGATTGGCAATCGCACCAAACAGTCATCGATAGACACATAGAGATAAATCACATTTACAGACCCCACGTTCTACATGGGGCTAACCTTGAAAGGTATCTGGAACTTCAGCTGCTATAAAATGTGATCATGCAGGCAATTTTAAGCACCCAAAGAAGGGAGGTTTAATTTGCAATAAAGTTCAGCTAATTTATACATTTCTGCATATGTTGGTTTAGATGTCAGTTCTGGTTGGTTCAGCAGGAATTTATAACTGAGGAAATGTGGAAAGGGTTGTACTATCATACATTTATCTACTACTAAAATGTATTTCAAGAGGCTATAGTAAAGTAGAATGTGGCAATCAAAACCATTAAAACTTTATAGTATAAAACCTATGGGGGGAAATCTAGTCTGTGTATATGGGAAATCAAGTATAGGAGTCTACACTTGATTGCAAGAAAGCAATTAATTTGCTTTCTTTGATGTATTTGAAAAAATAGTTAAATAAAAATTGGAAGTATTCAGAAATTAAGGTAACTATAATACAAATGGAATTATGTTAAAATGTTCAATAAATGAACAGTTCAAAACCACAGACTGCTTTTGTTTCTGATATATAGTCATTTCTCTTTCTTCCATAGGCTTTCCTGGTCCTAAAGGTGCATTGGGTGTAGAGGGTCCTCAAGGCTTCCCTGGTGGCCCTGGTCTTCCAGCTCAGTCTAGTACATCTCCAGGAAGGCCAGGATCTCCAGGATTACCTGGTTTTCCAGGAGTACCAGGAAGACCGGGCTTGCCTGGACCACCCGGTAAGATACGTCAAATGTCAAAGCATTGCATGAGAATTGAATGATTAGTATTTCCAAAATATCACCTGACAGCAGCTAATATTTCCTATAATATTTTCCCTAAATCAAGGAAAATGAATGCATTTTAACTAAGTAGAACACAGGAGTTGGTTGGTTGTTGTTGTTATTTTGCTAAAGAATCAATCTTATTTGTCTGTGTGTGGTGGCAAGGACAGCTTAGGAGCAAGCGTATTTTATGAGACATTTTTATTCCACAGTAGTCATCCTTAATTCCGTTCCCACTCTGCCTGTCCAAATAGAAAGAGAACAAGAGAGGATATGTGTAGTGTTTTATTTAGGACACTGGGCTAGGAGCAGAGAAAACCAAGTTCTAGCCCTTCCCTTGAAATGGGAGATAGTTGATTAATTTGGGCTCATTCTCTCTCAGTCTAGACTGGGAAATAAAAAAAAACCTCTTCTCTACCAGACAGCACTGGACCAATGGAAGATTATGGTTTACAACGATCAATGAAGAGTCCCCATCTTACAGTAGATTAATTAACAACATCCTTAGAGATATGCGACTTATTTGCAGTGAAATAGGCAATCAGATGTATTTCAGACTTTATTCAATATTTATCTATGGAGCTACTAACAATTAATGGTAGTGAATGTTGCTGAAAGGTCTATAAAGATTAAGAGAAACTGAGTCTATTGCTGTTTCTGTCCCGTTTCTGAGGCTGGATTTTGATTGGAATGGAAAATGAGTAAAAATTGTGGAAAAAAACAAAAGAAAAAGTGCAGATCAAGTGAAGGCTTTTTCAAGAAGGTACGCCCATAACTCCTTCAAAAAAGCAGCATTGTGTCCTTCCCTAAATGAATATTTACTGTCCTTGAATCCATCTACTCATATCCGACTTAGCTTTTTGAAGGAAGGCCTGCTTATCCACCTCAAAATGGCATGGATCTAGTTCTCCAGTGGCACATTTCATTCCATAAGAATTCTATCCACTTCTATCCTGGGTAGCAGTAGAAGATGCCACTTTATTTGATGCAGTGAGTTTTGCTTAACTGGCTTCCAACCCAAGACAGGAATTGCTTTATTAATTTGTATACCACCAGTTTCAATATTTTGGCCTATGTGGTTTATAGCAAAAAAAGAGATGAGTGACATTTATTGCACCACCACAAATGCATCCAATGATGTACTTTCTGTCTCTAAAAGGGCTTGGGTTAAAGTGTTGCTGGGCAACAGTCTGTAGAAGTAATCAACATGGAGAAGAATTGAGCACAGTTAATCTGTGTGTTCCAGTTGTCTTAAGACACATAAACTCACTATTTTCAACAGTTGGAAGGGATCTTGGAAGTCATCTAGTCCAACCCCCTAGTCACGCAGGAGACCAATACAAGGGATTCAAACCACTGACCTTTCTGATTGACAAGCTGAGCGTCTTAGCCACTGAGCCTCCTAGTCATTTTCTTGATCATGTTAACTACAAATGATAAATTTAAAAGTGGGAAATAGATTTCCAACTTTTCAAGGTTAAGGGAAGGTTCCCTTACTTATGGTCTTATCATTGCCTCTTTTAGACAGAAGGGACATAGTCATCCCACAAAAATGCTTTACTTCCCATAAATAATAATCAGCATAATGATAGCTCTTTACCTCTCTAGGCATCCTACTTATATTATCAAGTTCCACAAGCTGAAAGAAATCTGAACAATGAAGCAAGGAGTTACTACAGTTCCATTAATATATCCAGCTCCCAAATTGTAGACTTTATCTACAAAGAAAATGCAAAAATCTCACAGTGATTTATGGACTATTCAGATTCTTCCTTCCCAGCTTCTTGATGCAGCAGTTACTCTACAATGTAGAAAAGCAATGACAGCTATTTATATGCAGATGCAAAGAAGACAGAAAAATATGAATTCAAATGGACTTTAGTCTGTGCTCATTCTTAGAAAGCAATAGAGCAGGGATAAGTTTGATTTTTTTTAATGACAGTGGGAAACTCCCCCCCCCATACATTTATATTATAAACCTGATTATTTTACATCTTCAAGGTGTTGCCTGTGAAGGGAGAGGGTCCCCTGGAGAACCAGGAGCTAAAGGTCCAAAAGGACCACCGGGAGAAAGAGGTGGAAAGGGAGTGAAAGGCAAGTATATGCCCCCCTCACAAACCAAGTATTTAAATATTATGATATTTAGTCATTTATGTCCTTAAACCAGCGCTCTTCTGTGTATCAAAATAAATTAATCAGCCATGTTACTGTGTTTTCCCGACCCCCAAAAGAAGCACTTGGCTTTAGTTTCGGGGAGATCTTATTATTTTTGAGGTGCAAGAGGTGGTGAGTGTGGTCATTTCATGGCTGCTGCTGTGTTGCAATATTTTTGGGGAGGGCTTTTTTTCAGGAGAGGCCTTATTTTAGCGCATGTGCTCAAAAACCCGATTGGGTTTATTATCCAGGAAGGTCTTATTTTCAGGGAAACGGTAGATAATAGCAAAGCCATTCCACTTTTTCTGCCATGCTCTTTTTCCTCTGACCTCCTGTGTCCCTTGAGGAAGCATCGTACCCACATTTTCTTCAATATTGCCTGTGATTTTGAATATCTTTGTTAAGGTCTGTGATTGTATGGAAGTGAACCAAAAGATTTTTTCCAGAGCTCCAAACCAGATGTGAAATTGGAGAGAAAGACAGAATAAAACAATGTAAACAAACAGTGGGTGCATCCTCCAACAAAGTTTATTTCTCATGTCGGAGGGTGGTAGAGTTAACTGTCACTTAGTTTTCTCACTGGGTTTATGCTAGGTGCTTTGTTTATACAGGAAATCCAGGGAACTGCTCCTGTGGGCTTGGCCCTTGTGGTCCACCTGGCCAACAAGGTCTACCAGGGACACCTGGGAGAAAAGGAGAAGTGGGAACACCTGGAAAATATGGAAGAAAAGGTGATCCCGGTTTTCCTGGTAGACGAGGAAGACCAGGGCCCTTAGTGAGTAACCGCTTTTAAAAAATTATATCAAGCTAATTAATAGGAGAAAACATATAGACATGTGTGCAAGAGTATAAATATGATAACATGATTTCATAATTAATAATTATAATTAAAACAAAGGGAAAGGAAGAAAAGATGCTGGATAATTTTTTCAAAAGTCTTCTTGACCTTTGCTCCTTGTCAGAAACAATCTGGTTTATAGTAATCCCAATTCAAATGTTAATAATTAATAGAAATCATCTGTACATTGCTGAAATCAGGTCTCGATTTCTCCTTCACTGTTGTGCTATTAGTTTAGCCAAACGTGATGTCCGCAATGTCCACAATTCTTGATGCCTTGGCAGATTCCAAATATTGGGGAAATGGCCAAGAAAAATAAACTCAATAATAATCATCAAGCTACAGATTATCTAATAATTGTTTCAATATTGTATGTTTTTCTTTTTAAGTTTTACTATTTTATTGCATTACCTGAAGTACCTTATAAGTAGAGTATAAATTATAATTTAACAAATAGCAGTTTAAAGATTCAATCAGGTTAAGTTGGAAGCAAATGTTCTAGTAGAACTGAATGTCATGAAAACAAATCATTAAACAATACCTATAATCTTCCTAAGACATTACTACTACATACTATGTCATGGAAGAAATACATTAATCAGTGTGTTGTCTTCTCAAACAGAATAAATTTCTCATTAAGTAGAGGGAGAAAGTAAGCAAGCACCGTACTCTTTTTTTCCCATGCTGTTCATTGAATAAGTTTATAATTACAATATTTTATTAATTCAAATAAATAATTGAGTGAATTTAACAATAACCTGGGTATTTTTAAATTTCAAAGGGATTGCCAGGTCCATTTGGACTGACAGGTGAAAAAGGAGATAAAGGTGACCCAGTTGAAGTAAGGATCAAAGGTAACTATGCAAACTACTATAATTATAAGATTTGAGAACTGCTGCTTTGATATCTCCAAATCTTGTACTGCACTTGGGAGAAAAGGAAAAGGAGGATACAGGTAAAAGCAATGAGGTACTTCTGTGTAGCTCAACTGCAATTATCTTAACTAAGCATGATGGCTATATTCTCCCGTCTCACATTGGGTCATATATTTTACAATGGCTTGTTTAAACTACAGATGCCTGATACACCTGAACCAGGTAATTTTGAGTTCATCTTGGTTTACCAGTATTAAACAAGAAGACTGACAAAAATAACACAAAATGAAATATTAAGCCTGCATGATATGTTTTACCATTTAAAATGCATCTGTATGCTTTTAAAACAATAGGAATTTATTACACATAAATTCTCCTTCAGTTTGTTTAGCAATCTGAGAACTAGAGCCTGGGCTGCTCATGTTTTTACTTACAAAGAGGTACTCTGAAATTATTTTCAACTATCAGAAATGTTATATTAAAATTAACCCTAAAAGTGACCTATGCAGACTCTTGAAATCAATGCAAATCATCTATCCCATAACATAGAATTAAACCATTTGGATTTAATAAATTAATCAAGTACTATTTGGATTTGATTTATTATAGTCCTTATGTAAGTAGAATAGAAAATGAAATAAGAAATAATGATTATATGATTGATGTCAATTCCCAAAATGTCATAATTAGAATAAATCTCTCAACCTTATTTTTGTGACTCACTATTAACAATAATGGGAAAAATACTGCAATCTGCATCTTATCATATATCTCACCACTAATACTTATTTTTCTATTACATTACATGAAGTAGATGAATAACCTTTAGCATACTTTCCAAACCCCATTGAATCAGTTCAGAACACCAAAAAAAAAAAAAGGCAATCTGGCACAATCTGCTGTATGCTGAAGTATATATTTGCATTTTGTCAGTGGACCCATCTAGTGTTTAACTCCACCTACAACTAAAAGTAAGGTTCTACATTTAGGCAACATAAACGAAATGCACAGGTACAGTATAGGTGGTACCTTGCTCAATAGTAGTAACTGTGAGAGGGATCTTGGAGTCCTAGTGGACAACCATTTAAATATGAGCCAGCAGTGTGCAGAAGCTGCCAGAAAAGCCAACACAGTTCTAGGCTATATAAACAGAGGAATAGAATCAAGATCACGTGAAGTGTTAATTCCCCTTTATAATGCCTTGGTGCCACCTATACT